GTAACCGTAAGTATTTTATAAGTTATAATAAATAATAAATAATTTAATTTGATTTGTTGAAATGTTGCACTTTTTTTACTGTATCGTGTTGATATGCAAAGAAATTGTAGGTTACTATGGGAATTTAAATAACGATTATCATTGGTCATACAAATTGTTTTCGAACTCAGTGACCCTGGATTCTCCTAGATCACGCACTATCGCCCAAATCTCGTTGGAAACAACCGACGCCAAGTTTGCTTCCTGGATTTAATAATATATTGTTTTTTATGATAATAAATAAATACATACAACAAATATAGGTACTTCACTTTGTACGGATATTTTTACGAATCAAACATTTTTAAAATTTTAAGACATAATTACAAATTACGGTTATTATAATAATATATTGATATATTATTATAATAACAGCCTTCTCATTATTTTAAGAGTTAAAAACCATGAAAAATAAAATATTGAAGTAAAATTAATGTATTATTCTGTTGATTTATTGCAGTAAACGTGACCGATATTTTTAAAACGTTATAATAATATTGTAACACTTATATTGAATGACAATAATCAAAATACTGGTGCTATACACGACATGTATGTGTAATATATTATATTAATTATACCAACAGTCAGAATGTCAGAATCAACGGCGCAACTTTACTCGCGTAGGTATAGCATATAGCGAGCACAATTCCACACAATATATTATAATTTTATTTATCATACACATTACACACGCAAACAAAATGACCAAATCGAAAGCAACGTCGACAAATTATTTGACTGCAAAAATAAAATATTTAATTTGAAACACTTTGTCCTGCGTTTAGTGCGTTATTCTGACAATGCGCTCTCGGTTTGTGTTTGCCTTGAACGGTTTAACGCACGAACGAAGGAAGACCTGTGCGATACATCTACCTACGTATTTACATATTGCTTTTAAACGCCGCGCGCATGCTGTGTCTTTGTCACCGGCGTGCTTCATACGTCACGTTAAGCGAATATTTTAATGTGTTTCAGTTTTTTTTTTTTTTTGTTTTTCATATTTCAACACGATGCGTTTAGGGCTGTCCATGAATCCACGTTGTGTTATAGGTATTCGCGTGTTATCAAAATAACGACATATCAATGGGAATGGGTTTTTGTAAGGACGGCGGGCATATTAGTTACATCGATTATTATTATTTCATCATAATATATATATAGTTTTTTTTATTGCGATTTTTATTTTTTCAGTAAATCAACAATATTCGAATTAGATCAGCTCATACCGTTTAATTAACGAGTTTCGAATACATGGCAATGACCTGGTAGCCTTTGGTCTTGTTTGGTGAATATGTTTTTGATATCGCGTATCTGTTGTAAAACACTAATTGCTGAACATGTTTTGTTGTGTTCGCAAAGGTCGAGTGAATAGTTTCTATCAGCGTTTACAAATAACAATCTAAAATTGATTTACGAAAAGAATTTTCTTACATTTATAAAAATGACTTAGACCTATTCTATAATTTATACAACCATTTAAAATTTATAAAATAACAGTATAAGAAATCGTAATATCGAGATATTTACTGATGTATATAACTGTATACAAAATTAATTTCAAGGGAAATTTTCACATATTATCGAAACTTGCTTTTCAAGCTTTTATTAGAGCCATTATGCGGGTATTAACCTGCGTTGGTTCAATGTAAAATGGCCTATGAATATGGTGATAAATGTAGAACAGACGAACAAAAACAAGTTAACTCTTCTCAATGATAACATAATACACGAAAAACCTTAAAAGTCAAGGTTTTGAATTTAAAGGGCATGTGGTATCAGAAAATAAATATTTATTTCGAAAGAGTTGAAAAATATAACCACACACGCAAACGCTTGCACGCACACACGCACACACACACAAATTTAAACATTTATATTTTTATTATTGCCTTCTAGATAATATACTTACTTTTCTGCATAGGTGTATACATGTAAAATGTATTAGCGCGTACTCTAATCATTTTGATAAATTTCAAATACAAATTCAAGGATAATTGATTAACCATAAACACCAAACGTGTTACGCATAACATATTTGGATCTAATTTGTTTATTACATACCTACTATATTTAAGTTAATAGAAATAAGACATTAATGGACATTTATTGTTAAATTGTAATATAAATTATAATTAAATTAAATATGCTTATTTCTAACGGATTTTTGAACAAGTAATAAATTAAATAATTGTTTCGACTATAGTAAAATAAAATATTTATCATGCATTATTTACTTTGCATGTTGGAGTAAGTATTGAAAACAGTAAATTATAATATTAATTTAATTTTTAAATTATATAATTTTAAGAAAAAGGTTGATTCGATTGGGTCTTCAAGGTAGGAGTTAAACCGTCTGAAAAAAAATAATATGTATAGTATGTAAATGAGTATGAAGGATTAAATCAGAATGCTAAAATACTTTCAATATCGAAGATATTGTAAAATGTAAAATCAATTTTAAGAAACTGGTTGATTGTGATTGCTTATTAACCATAATTATATAATATTATAACGCAAACATTAGATCTGAAATTCATTTGATTAAGCCAGTTAAAGTATGAATAATTATTAAATTTATGACCATGCATTTTGTATTTTTATATTTCTATAATATCTATTCTAAAAACAACGGTATAATTTACAAAGTAGCAAAGTATGTGTGATGTTATGCTAAATGTAAGTGCTCATTAATTAATACCTAGCTAATTGCTATTATGTATGTGTTATATTCTAATCAATAATTAATAATCATATAAGAGTAAAAGCTAGTAAAAAATAAATACATTCACCACATCGCTCAGAGTCGAAGATATTTATGCGCGTACGAAAAAGGCTTTATTATAATATATCGTTCCATAATATTACGGTGAGTAATGCACGAGATCTATGAACCATTTAAAGAAAACTGTTCCAGAGTTCGATCATTAAATGACATTGTCTGACATTCGGACAGTTATACGTAGCTACTAGCTAGTACACGACATTTCATGATGTCTAGTCGTCTCGGACAGCCCCCGAAAACGTTCCATCGTATAAACATTGTCACCGAAAAAGGATTTGAAAAAAAAAAAATAACAATCAAGGACAAATTTGGAATATATATATATATATAGAACATTAAGGTATATACTCGACTGTACATTACAATACGTTACAAGATGATAATTTCTATTGTTTTGCGTTTCCGCGCCGAGTACAAACGGATATTAATATAATATACATTGCAATATACCTGCCCATATCGGTGTGTGGGTGTGGGGGGGGAGATAAGCGTAAAAATTTACTAAATTCATCCGAAGGACCTTACAATACACACACCGCCTACAATAAACCAATACGAATTATATATATCTACATAAAAAATATAGAATCAATAAAAACCAGATTTACAAATTTTCTACAGAGTGATTCAACAGGCATGTTAATCCCTACTTTTTCTTTAAAAATTAATTAATTTAAATTTAGAATTTAGAATTTTTAAATACAATTTTAACTATATTTTCAAATTCTCAAATTCTTTTGTTCTACTTAAAAAGTGTCTTGTAACGATACAATTTTCTGTTTTTCAAATGGCCCCCCTCCATTTTCCTGCAAAATTAGTAGATCGTTTTTTTAATAATTAATGTATATACTTAAGTAAAAATTCAAACTAGCAGTTTCTTAGTTATTAAAATGTTTATCCTAAGAATAATAAATAGTCTTTAAAAATGGTTTATAAAAACATAAAATAATATTTTTTATATTTTGCACCAAAAATGGTTTGAACTGATCCGCAATAATATTAATTACTAAAAAATTTAGCCATAGTTCTCATATCTTCCAAACCCATTATCATCCTTAGTACACAAAGTCCAATAACTTAAAACTATTTTTTGACATTTTGATTCTGATAACTACGTCTTGATACGATATTTAAAAAAAAATTATCCATTAACAGGTGATTTACAATAGAAAAGAGAGTTCTCGTTTGAAAAACAGAAAATTGTGCCTCAGCGGGATACTCCTCAAGTAATACAAACACAAATCTCGAAAACTTTAAAATACGGTTTTTAAAATATCGGAAAATCAAATTTCGAACAGATGCATTTATTGGAGAAAAAGAAAGGGATGTGCATGTCCGATAAATATCACTCTGTATATAGGTAGACATATATTTTTTCTCTTCTATTGATATTGAGAGCACGCGTTTTTTCAGGTATCTTGAATATTATATACCTATGTATGTATACATAGGTATAATGTATGTGTAATGTGGTTTGTAGCGACCACGACGTTTGTTCAAATAATAATAATAATAAAAATAATATATTATATACCTTTTATTATGTATAATAAAGGAGATAATATACAGACTCGATCCAAGCGGCCACCTTCACACCCAAGGTCCTGGGCGCACACACACACTCGCACACACGCACACATCCACGCTCGCAAACACTTCGACATTACATGTACATTAAAGTCTCAATGCCGCGGTGTCCGGAACAAGGAAGAGAACGCGCGCGCGCGCGCGCATATCATAACGACGAGCGTGCGGTACAGTGCGAATCGGAAGTGAAGTAAACAACAACGCGTAATAACCGCCACCGCCGTCGTCGAGAGTAAAAGGCGTAAATCGGTGTACTCGATAATAACGCGCGCGCCAACACACACACACACACACACACACACACACACACACACACACACACACACAAACACACGCGCGCCGCGCGCGGACTGACGGACGCACACACCCCAGAAAACATCATACGTGTTCGGTGCGGGATAAAGCCGGCTCCTCGCTCTCGCTCTCTCGCTCGTCGCGCGCACGGGACAACACGACACGTGCGGACGGGCCGTCGCGCGGCGTCGCCGGCGGCCCGGTGGGGCAAGACATGAACCGCCGGCAGGTCCAATACCCGGACGGATCGGCGCACTGTTATAAGGGAACGCCGCGGCAGCGCTAGTGATTTTAAACGCAGCCGTAGATTAAATACGCGACCCGTCGCCGTCACCGACACCATAAATCCCGCGCTGCCGCACAGACGACCGCCGCGGACACCGACCACGCCATAAGCCCGACACAGCCGCCGCCCGCAGCCAGGGGGTGCGTTTCGTTCGAATATCATTTTTTTTTTTTTTTTTTTTGTATTTTTTACCCGCACGACCGTCTATATACACGACGAGAGCGGAGTGAGCGTTTGCATGTGACCGACGCCGCAACAGAATAACCCGATAATAACAATATTAATAATAATAATAATAATACGCAAAACTGTGCGTAATTATTGCTATCGTAACATTATATAGTGTTCGGGGGGGTTGCCGCGCGTGCGTGTGAACTCGTGTGTGTTACTTTCGATTTCTGCAACAACGCTCGTCGACGACCAGACACAAGACGCGTGCGTTTAGGAAAACCCGTTCCGCGTGCGCGTGTGTGTGTGTGTTCGTGTGCCAACAACGAGTGTGTGTGCGCGTGTGTGCACAGTGCAATTCGAAACACAAACACGTATACCAGTTACATAAATTATTCGCGTTTTGACCGCCGGCGTCGCGAGTCCCGTGTGATGTGGTGAATGTTCGCGCGCAAACGATGGCATCAACAATCGCATCAGTAGAAACGGAACAGATCAAACAGGAGATCGCATCCGTCGTCGAAGAAAAACAGAGTCCCGCAGAGACCACACCGGCCAACGCAGTCGACCGAGACTTCACCGAAGAGATCGTAGCGCCGCTGCCCAACATCAAGTCGGCCCCCGGAGTCACCGCCCCGTTGCCGATCGTCGGCAAGGCGTTCGACTTGAAGCGCGCCAGCGTGTCGTCCGTGGACAGCGACATATCGCTGTCTTACGACGCGGCGCCGTTTTACCCGCGTTCGTTGAGCCAAACCGGCGGCATGTCGTCAGCCAACAACTCGAGCGGGTCCGGCACCGACGACGGTGGTCGGCACCACTCGGTCGCGTCCGCCACCGCCGGTATCAGCAACACGGATTCGTCCGATTCGGCGTACGAGGGCGGTCAGGTTAAGTCGGGCGATGAGTCCACGCCGTTCGTGGCGCCCGACGAAGAGACCACCAAGCGCATCCTCGACCAGGTGGAATTTTACTTCTCGGACGCGAACATTGTCAAGGACGCGTTCCTGTTGAAGCACGTCCGCCGTAACAAGGAAGGATACGTGTCGCTGAAGCTCATTTCATCGTTCAAGCGGGTGAAACACCTGGCCAAGGACTGGCGGGCCGTCGCATACGCCATAACCAAGTCGGAAAAACTGGAACTGAACGAATCCGGAACGAAACTAAGGCGTAAGGAGCCTCTACCCGCGTACGACCAGACGACACCGTCTCGGACCGTGGTGGCCATCAACCTGGCCGAGGAGAAGCCGGTGACCATCGAGACGGTCGCCGAGCTTTTCCGCAGCTGCGGCGAAATCGCGTTGATCCGTGTGCTCCGTCCGGGCAACCCCGTACCGTCGGACGTTCGTCATTTCGTCAACAAGCATCCGGAGATGGGCAGCAACGTGAGTGCGCTGATCGAATTCGTGCGCACCGAGTCGGCGCACAACGCGATGAGCAAAGACTGGTCCTCGGAAAAGGCCAAAGACGGGCAGTCCATGTGCGTGCTCGAGCTCAACGCTCCCGCGTCCAAGAAGAAGGCCACAGCGGCCGCCAAGAAGTCGCCGATGAACCGGCTGTTCGACTCGGAGTACTCGTCGTCGTGCCAGAGCGGTTCCGAGGCGGAGGACAGACAAAAGATGCGCATGCAGCGCAAGGTGTCGGCCAACACACTCATGCGGTCCGACTCTTCGTGGAACCAGCGCAGGTGGTCCAGGGACTCGGGCACCGATAGCTCCGCGTCCGGATACTCGCGGCGTGATTCGTACGTATTGCCGCCGCAGCATCACATGCAGCAGCCCGGCGATTACGGCCACAACAGGCGTATGTCGTCCGGTTGGGACTCGAGCTCAGATAGCTATTACTCGGGCCGATCGCGTTCGAGCAGCGGCGTGTCCATACCGGAAACGTTCGGAATGCGCCGTTTCTCGTTGGCCAACAACCGTGGCCCCGAACATCAGCAGCAGCAACCGTGCTGTTGTTGCGGTCACAACCAGGCGCCGCCTCTGCCACAGCAGCAGCAACAGCCGATGGCCATGCGCAGACACTCGACACAGGACAACGGCCATCACTACGACATGAGGCGGTGCAGCAGCAGCAGCAGCAACAGCGGCGGCGATATGATGATGCGCAAGGACTCGACGTCGGACTTCTGTTGCGGCAGTCAACCCCGAGACGGATTCCACAACTGGTCGCGCAAGAGCAGCTCGTCTTCGATGGGCGAAGGTGGCATGGGCCGTCGCCTGTCCGTCGACTCCGATTCGTCGGGCGGCAGGGGACGCAGGCCCAGTTTGGGCCTTGTGACGCCGGATAACGTGGTAAGAATGCCCAAAGGTCCGGACGGTTGCGGCAGCCGCGGTTTCCAGCGGGAACCGATGTTGGATACCACTCTTTACGAGTGAACAGCTGAACGAGACGACGACATGACGATAATATTAAGAATATAATATAATAATATTATCGTTAAGATTATGGTTATTATTCATTATTATTTATGTATGATACAGCAACCATGTGAATTTAAGAAACCCGAAGCAAGGCAAAAAAAATATATCGATCTATATAATAATGTAATAGGTACTTTTCATATCTGATATAGGTATATATATGATTAGTTTTTAATTTAAGCGGTTTGGATACTTAGGTACTTGTAAGATAAAAATGAATTTTAGGAATAAGGGCGACATCCCTGCCTCATTTTATTGGCAGTAGGATCCATATAATATTTAATTTATTTTTATGTCATAAACATTCCATAGGTAATATGTATGTATGTGAATCGACCAATTTTATCGGCTGTACGATTTTATTTGTCGAATTCGGCATCATATTATTTGCGTGCGAGTATTTTCTTATTTTATCGTTTATACTTTGTAGAAGTTGAGCCATTTGAGGTTTGGGTACATATCATGATGTTATATTATACCTGCCTCGATGACTTTCGAGAGCTTCGATTTCGCGTTAATTTATTTAATATTTATTATGTTGGCATACCATTTATTCATATGTTTATTTGTATTACACGTATTTATAAATATTAATTATAATATTTTTATTTATTATTTATTAATATTATTCGCTTGAAATTAAAATAATATTATAATTTATTTATATTTTACCATTATTATTATATTGTCGATGTAAGCATTTAATTTATTAAGTTATTATTTTATCGATGTATAATACATATATGTTACCGGTATATTTGTAAGACCATATCGTATTAGAGTAATAACGTTTGGTTTATTTATTCATATTTATACAAATGAACGTAATATATATATAAATATATATACTCACATATAATAGATTTTTTTTTAACCACTAAATGTTTTTAACGATATATTTTTCTCAAACTTTGACTACGGATCGAAATATAACAACAATTTTCAGATCGGACTCAGCTCATCCGCGCTACTCATTACTCAATCACTCGGTGTCCGGTGGACGATATATCTACAACTGCAGAGTGCAGGCAATGGGTATAGTGTAAACAATGTATTATCATCGTATCAATCTTGCGTCCGTCACGTGACTTTAAATTATGAAAATGTAGTGGAAGGGTTAATTTACCATCGCTTTCCGCTGTAGGTACTGCGCCATAACGATACAACGATTTTGTTTCCGTTGCGAAGTTCGACAAGGTGCCAGGTGATGCCTGAAACTGTTTACTTCATACATGTTAATACGTCAATCACCTGATTAAATCGATTAAAAATCACACAAACTAATCCACCTTTTGTTTAATCGCCTAAAAGCGGAAATAAATTTAGTATAACATTATTCAATAATACACGTAACATACTCCTAAAAACCGAAAAGACAAAAAATATACACTGATTTTGTAATTTATTTATATCTTAAAAACATAATACCAACTCCTTTTTATCTCATTTAGCAAAAGGGTTTTTAGGATTAATGCAACGAATAAATGAACGATGAATACACACATAAATTATTTTAAAATTGTTTAAATTTTTAATTACACAAATCAAGATATTCAACCTATGAACCTTGTTGAAATTCAAAAAACTTTTTCGATAGAAAGATACCTTATTACTATCATTAGGGATCACGTACATTTGATTATTTATTTTTTACTTTTATATTGTACGTTTATGTGTAAAAAAAATTACCTAGGTACTTTAGTAAATATTTTTATAATATGTTAGTGTTTTAAGAGAAGTGGCTGATGGATGACGATCGTGTCTGTCAGTTGAACTTAGTTTTAAAGTTATTTATTTATTATAATTAATAGTTTAATGTTTGCATCATGAATAAGTATATAGTAGTTATAGACTATGGCTCTAAATGCGTGAACCGTTCCTAACATCATTCTTTAGTGACGGAACTGAAGAATGGATTATTAAGGTGGTAAATACTAAATAGTAAATAGGTACCTTCTTAATGTTACCAATTCAAAATTCAAACCCGTCACGGCGTAACGCGTGGTCTCTTGTTCCTGAAGAGCCAACTTACCTTAAGATTAAAAAAATAGATCGTAATAATCGCCTTTGAAAAGGCAGAAATTATATGATACCCCTAGAAAGTCTGTCACCTACAGTCTTCCGAACTGGGACAGAATATGTGCCCAGTCAACAGCACTATAAGGTAAAATAAATATCACTCTTATAATTTCACATCTCCAATTTTTAAATTAAACACCATAGTTAATAGAACTTATCAAACAAGGGATAGGTTAGGAACCGTTCTAATATAGAAGACATCAAGTGCGCCTAGTCATTGAGTAATGACGAGTAATGTATGTAATGACTATAATGTTCGTGTTAGATTTAAATTTAATGACAAATCATTCCATAGGTACCTACTAAAAATGATTTTTGAAGCGAAGACAATCTGTCAGCTTATAAGTTATATTACTGAGTATATTCCATGATTTGCATTTTGATATTGCTATTAAAGTAATTTATTTTACTATCATAATATTAAGATATAGATTGATTTAATTTAATATTTTTTTAGGCCAAACACATAGGTAGCATTTATTATTTTATAAATAATTAATTATTATAATATGGTATATTTATAATCCTAATTTATTGTTGTTATTATTTTTTGAGCAGGGCTTCAAAACTTTTATATAAATTTATAACGGAAAAATATTTTAAAGTATTCATAAACAATACATTTTTAGTGTGTAAATAATTACAAATAACGATATTAAAAACAATGTAAAATGTCTATCCTTTTTTTACACTGACATTATATATTTACTTATGAAGTACAAGTGCTTTTTTCATCTTTCAGGTACGATTAATTCAAATTCACCTAACAACCCTTATGAACAATAATTAATATTTTCCGAAAAATGTTATTATTGTTTTTTTTTATTAAATATACAGTACCTATATTTATTAGTAAATTTCTGTAATTTAACTAATAATTTTAATGTCCGTGTTCACTGTTCAATTTCATCGGTGTTTTAATTTGATTTTATGTTTAACGTTAAACATTAGATAATATTTTAAATAATGCTCAAGTACCCGAAAACGTATAAAACGATATATATTTTTTCAATTTAAGCCCTGCAGTTTTAAGTTAATACCGTCTTACCATAAAACAATATGAAAAGGATCAAAGCATAAATAGGAAATACTTTCAAATTAATCTAAATGTTTTGAAAATATCAATGGTTATTGTGTATGTAAACTATTATAATAAACGTACAATTTTCAAGAATCCATAAATAATATTTTTGAATTACAACAAAATAATTAAAATTTTAGTTATTCTTTGTTTAAATTTTTAATTTCGTACCTACAGATTTGAACTACAAATTTCTATAAAAAAATATTGTGCTTACATATCTTTTTAGATTTATTAATTTCAAAATTAACTACTTATGAAAAATCTTGTATTAAATGTTCTAAGCTTAGCTGTCAATTTTTAACTACAACAGTTTTTTACAATTTGTTATGATTTTGACCGATTTTATCAACATTACAACCTGAAATAATTATAAATTAAATCGTGGAATATTTTCAAATATCTATAATAACTTTATCTTACGTAATTGTTAAGTTTTTGGATCGAGTGCGAACATTTTTTTTTTATTAACATGTGAATATAAGATGCTTATAAAGAATCAAAATATTTTGAAAATTATACTGTGTAAAAAAAATATTAATATAAACATTTGGTAAGATTTTCAATTATATACGATCATCATTTTTTAATTAGGTACACAATAAAAAAGAATTTTGTTAAAAATTGGTTTATTGTTAAGATTCTTATTTTTCTTTTGAATTAATGTATTTTTTTTTTGTATTGTGTACATGATTTATATTAGAAAAAATAGTTAAACTTTCAACTTAAAATATATTTTCTAATAGGAAAGCAATTCAAACTAATACTTAAGAGATTTAAATATTTAAAATCTCACTATTTTTTAAAAAAATTGGAAAAAACAAAAAAAAAGTAATTAGAGAAAATATAAATTTTATGCAAAATCAGTTTTTGATAAAATTCATTTAAAAAACAAATAACTGTAAATGATTAAAATTTTAGTTAATTTATAGTTTTTTTAAAAAATTGTTAAAAGCTTAAAAATACAATACAAGGCTCATCATTAGTAATTTTAATTATTGAAATAAAAAAAAAAATTACTTGTTAGATTATTGTATTATAGTATTATAGGTATTTATACTATAAACCTTATAACCTAGTAGTAGTTAACACCGTTCTACAGTAAGACAGTATTGACTCAAAAGTAAACAATAATAATGAATTATAAATAATATGTAAATAAAAGATTAAATCAATCTATCACAAAAGGTACTAATAGCAAAATAAATTGTTTTAATAGTAATACAGATACACCATAAAATATAGTAATATAGTATTAATATAGGCTGATGGCCTGTCTTTGATCAGAATTGTTTTTCCTATGCAATGATTTATCTTTTAATTCAAATTTAATACATACATTACAGTAATTTACTCAACTATGAGGAACACTTAACACTTACCACATAGCAGAGCAATTATTTATTTGCTCCACTTTTTTATTTGATTTTTACCAATTATTAAGAAAAATACTGGGAACTTTCAATTTTTACCTTCTAAGGATGTACTAACTTGATTCACACTCCTACCAAAGAATATTAAAATTGAAAATCATCACATGTATTTTAGTTTAAATTACACATAAGAACACATATCATTATAAAATCAAATAAAATAAAATACATAAATAAAATCGAATATTTTTTTTTTAAGCCCGGCAACTAGGGCCATTAGCTGTTTATAGGGGTTATGAACTATGGTAAGGGGTAGGGTTGGTACGGTAGGTTGTATTTTACGATTGTTACGGTTGATAGCAAACATGTGTATGTGTGGCAAGGTTTTTAACCATTATGATCCCAAGTGGTCACCCATCCGGGAGCTAGTAGCTGTGGCCGTTACTTACTCTCAGTCGCATTCAGCGACTGGTAGCAGCCAACACGCCACGCCAAGCCACAATCGAATATTATAAGAGTATTAATCCAAGATTTGGACCTACCTATATGTTTATAAATTAAATTAAATCATTCTTTTATTTGGATAAATAATCAATAGGATTAATTCAACTTCAAATAAATAACAAAGTAATAAAAGAAAAAACAACAATGTATATTATTGATCAAAACTATGAAACAATATTTTAATAAACTAAAATTGTTTAGGTAAAATAGCTTAAGTATAAAAAAAATAATATTTTTATGTTCTAAAATTGTCTGTGCATAGTAAAACATATACAACTAAATTAAAATATTGTTTTAAATGTTTTACACTATTAAAAAAAAAAAAAAAAAACAAATGCAGAATATGTAGGTAACTATAACTATTTGTATACTACTACAATCTTTATGAAGAAAAAAATTGTAAAAAAAAAAATAATAATATAATAATAATACAATAAAATTGCCCACTTTAAGTACACTAATGGATTTGAATCAGAGCCCAAATAAATATAATTGATAATAAAACAATTAAAAAAATTAAAATTTTCTACTCACTATTTAATTTAAAAA